AAACCTTTCAGTGTAATTATTTATGCCAATTTATAAAAAATCACAATCTTATGGTAATATCAATACATCTTGAAAATATATATATAAATTAAGTAGGAATAAATTAAGTAGGAATAAAATATATATATAAATTAAGTAGGGATAAAAACACAATATGACAAAATAACTTCCTTCAAACCAAAACTATCATTCTAAATTATAAAACTCTCATTACAAATAATGTAAAAAATGAGATAGAAATTCCTACTGCTAACATTGTTTTAGAATAGTGAGTTAAAAAAATTGAGGTCAGTATAAACCCTGGAAAATACTTTTTTTCCTAATGAAAATATTGTATGCCTCGAAATCTCAAGGTTCTAATTAAAATCAAAATCAAGGAAAAATTTGAATAAGATAATTTGTTAAGATAGAAACAAGGTAAATATGTGAAGATCAACAGATTTTATCTATATTATCTGTAGACAAATGACAATACAAATTGAATATTTACAATAAACAATATTCTTACAGATTATTTTAGGAAAACATCAGATCTATATAAAAATACCTATGAACCTTATTGAAGGACATAAAACAATATTTGAGCTATGGAAAAATGTGATCTTAGATGGGAAGAATTAATATAGTAAAAATGCCAATTCTTTGAATTCTATAAATCTGAGCCGCTTCTAAATAGAACTTAATCAAGGTTGATTTTAGAATTCGATACAATGACATAAAAGTTTGCTTGGAAAAATATATGTCTACAAACAGCCAAGAAAAGTTTAATATAGAAGAATGAGAAGCTGGGAAACTTGCTTCACACATTATTCATCAGACTATAAAGTCACTATAATCAAATCAATATGGTGTTAGTCATATGGAGCCATAAAAAAATAGAGAATCTAGAAAATAGATGTCTGTATGTGCAAGTTTTATATATGGCACATTCAGTGGGAAAATAATTACTTATTTTATAAATGGGGCTACCAACTAGCTCTTTACCCAGAAAGAAACTAAGTTGGGCCCATTCTCACTGTATGGGCTGATCAATACTATAGCAGCTAGACGTAGGTGCTATTTAAATATAAATATAAATTTAAACTTGTGTTTCTCAGCTACATTAGTTATGTTTTAAAATGCAGCCAGTGTCTCTTATTGGGAAGTGCAGATTATAGATTTCCATCTTTGTAAAATGTTATGTTGGACAGCACAGATCTCCTCTTTCTCTCTCCTTATGCATATATTTACTATGTAATATTTAACATTTATACATATGTAAATATGAGCTAAATATGTATATAGGTATATATGCGAATATGTACATTTAAATGTTACCAATGCATTTAAAATTTAAATATGAAACACTTAGAAGAAAATCATCAAGGCTACATAGGCAATATAGGAGTTGAGGGGAAACTTAATAACATGACCAGAAACCCAGAAAAAAACCAAAAAGAGATGTATTTGACATAAAAAAAAATTTAACTTCTGTATATGCCTAGATACCAGTATCAGTTGGAGTTCTTGATTGAAAGCAATAGCATCTATTTTATTTTTAATTTTTTTAAATTTTATTATGTTATGTTAGTTACCATACAATACATCATTAGTTTTTGATGTAGTTTTGATCCATGCTTCATTTTTTTCATATAACACTCAGTGCTCCATGCAGTACGTGCCCTCCTTAATACCCATCACCAGGCTAACCCATCCCTCCACGCCTCCCTCCCCTCTAACACCCTCAGTTTGTTTCTCAGGTCCATAGTCTCTCATGGTTCATCTCTCCCTCCAATTCCACCCCCCCATTTTTCCCTTCCTTCTCCTAATGTCCTCCATGCTATTCCTTATGTTCCACAAATAAGTGAAACCATATGATAATTGACTTTCTCTGCTTGACTTATTTCACTTAGCATAATCTCCTCCAGTCCCATCCATGTTGATGTAAAAGTTGGGTATTCATCCTTTCTGATGGCTAATATTCCATTGTATATAAGGACCACATCTTCTTTATCCATTCATCTGTTGAATGGCATCTCAGCTCTTTCCACAGTTTGGAGAAATAGCAACTATTTTAGGTATATGCAGCAGAAAAACAATTTGGAAGACAGCTATGCTCACCACTAGACTACCAATGCTGCACAGCCAGAAAAACAATTTGGAAGAGAAAACACGTAAACCTCATTGAGAGACTACTTTTAAGAAGATACCATTGCTACCTCCTTAGGACATCGATACTACAACTACTGTCTCAACTTGATTATTTCCAAGTTGAAGTTAAGTGCAGGTGAATCTGATAGGAAGAGGCTGGGACCTATTCTCTTGTTCTAGCTGCAAGGGAATGTGTGAAGACACGTTTCTAGTTTAGGCGACAGGACTCATAAGTGAGAAGTTCTCACCTAGAGAAAAGGTGTTCACTATTTCCTGAAGGAAACATAAGCATGACAAATGTCCACCACACTAACATAAAGTCAGCAAATGATCGAATGGCAGGGGGACAATTGCAACCCAGATGAAGATGAATGTTTAATGTTTCTATAATATAGAAAAAGTCCCTACAAATTGTAAAGAAAAAGACAAATTACCTGATAAAAAAACACATCAAGTATATCAAGAGGGAATTCACAGAAGAGTAAATTCAAATTTCCTATATTAAAAATAACAATGAATTGGCACTTTATTGAGCAGACTGGCAAAATTTAAAAGTTTTAATAAATCTGGTGGGCAGTGGAATATAATATATAATATAATAAACCTGCTGGTGGGCTGTGCTACTGGAATATAAATTATTCCCACCTTTTAGAAGGCAATTTAACAATGTAAAATTTAAAATAACCATAGTCTTAGAAGCAACCCCATTCCTTAGAAGTAAAAGCACCTCCATATAAAAATATATATACAAGGATGTTTATTGTCCTTTTTTGTGGATGCAAAAGACTGAAAATGTGAATGGACGTCAGTTAAAAAAAATACATGATACATTTATACTATGAGCTATTAAAAAAGCATTTACAAGGAATGAGAAAAATCTGTTATTTCTCTTGGAGTTATTTTGGCAATGAGTTGTTGAGTGAGAAAGAAGAGTAAGATGCAGAGAACCAAGTAGAACAACATACAAAACACACTGAGAAACTGAAGACATTGAGTTTTTTAACAAGAATCACAATGGGTTATGGACGTGAAAGAGGGTAAATTGATGCAGGTGGCGAAGAGGAACAGAGACTTGGGGAGACAAGAACAAATCAAGAGTTGCAAGTTAAAAACATGATGAGGAGCACTGGGTGTTATACACAACTAATGAATCATTGAACACTACATCAAAAACAAATGATGTACTATATGTTGGCTAACTGAACATAATAAAAATAATAATTTAAAAAACATAGCCAGGGCGCCTGGGTGGCTCAGTTGGTTAAGCAACTGCCTTCGGCTCAGGTCATGATCCTGGAGTCCCGGGATCGAGTCCCACATTGGGCTCCCTGCTCGGCAGGGAGTCTGCTTCTCCCTCTGACCCTCTCCCCTCTCATGTACTTTCTCTGTCTCTCATTCTAACTCTCTCAGATAAATAAATAAATCTTAAAAAAAAAAAAAACATAGCCAAAACTCTCATTATGGAAAACTGCTTATGTGAGTTATATGTATACCTATTTCAAGAGAAATTATGAAGTTTAGGTTTCTAAACTTTAGACATGTCTAAAATAGGTGAAAAAATATTTCATGATATTACAAAGTAATATGTAAAGAATGATTCCATTAAAAAGTAAGTAAACATATAAATGTGTGTGTGTGTTTGTGCCAGCAAGACGACAGGACACACCTATTCATACTGGTTTCCTCAGGGTAGAATCGGAGAGCAAAGAGTGATTGTACTTACAGTAATCCTAATTTTGAAATTCAAAACATATTTTTAATTAAAAATATATGTTAACATCCTGGAATGTATTATAAAGGAAATAAACTCTATTTGATTCAGAGAATAATTGGAAAATATCAAGTAAGAGAGGGTGGTTTGGGATAGCCTTGCTGAGGAGAGTATCTAAGCTGAGACCTGAAGGATAACAATAAGCTGTATTGTGGAGGGCTGGACAAAGAATGTTTTTAGCTGAGTCCACAGGCCTGATAGCTCGTTTGAAGGGCAGAAAGGAAGCCAGGGCACCTGCTGTGTTGGGAGCATGTGGGTGGGTTGTGTGAGTTAAGGTTAGAGAGGCAGGGCCTTGTAGACCACTGGTAATAAAAGTTTGGGTTGTAGACCACTTCTTGTCAGCAAGTAAGTGAGGACTTAAAACCTTTGTAGCAACTTCACATTGCTGAGGCTCCAACATGTGATTATCTCAGTTCAGGTATTTTCAGACTTGCTAGGTGCATTTCATGTTGCAAATTGCTGCTGGTCATGTGCAGCAGGACCACATGTCAGTCCATGATGGATTAGAAAAAAGCAAACACAAAAACAAACTCATCCTCTCCACAGATAGTTAGAGAAGCACTGTTGTAAACCCTGGAGAGATGTTTTGTTGCTATTCTTAGAGTATTGGGAGACCACTGAAATTTTTAAAATGAAATGAGCCTTTAGGGGAGTCTGAGTGACTCAGTTAAGCAGCCAACTCTTGATTTTTGGCTCAGATCATGATCTCTGAGTCCTGGGATGGAGCCCTGCGTTCCACTCTGTGCTCAGCAGGAAGTCTGAGGATTCTCTCTCCCTCTGCCTCTCCCCTTGCTCACCCATGCATGTGCTCACGCTCTGTTTCTCTAAAATAAATAAATATTAATAAATGAGACTTTATATATGTTTTACAAAAAAATAAAATCCCTAGTTTAAAACTGGATTTATCCCAGCTTTCAGTGTGCAGAGTGGATTGGAAAGGATCAAGGGTTAAAAAGAGGAGAGTAGTTAAGAGACTTGTGGTGGTGCAGGTAGGAGATGATGCTGCCCAGACTGGGTGGTGGCAGCTGTGTAGGGGAAAGGAAGAGAAAGAGTCATGAGGAACCATACATGACTTCTGATTTCTTTTCTTTTGCCTTAGGAACCGTACTTTATGATAACATCTATGGAGGGAGATAAGGGATAATAAGAGAAGAAGAATTTGAAGGTAAAAATCAAGAGTTCTATTTCAAGCAGTTTTAAATTTGAAGTGTATATTACAAACCAGGTAAACATACAGTTCATCAGAGAGATCTGGAATTAAATGGCATGGTTTGGGGCTTTATAGCATGTAGATATAGGGTGAACAATGGTCCTGGTTTGTCCAGGACTGTCTCCATTGCAGTATCGAAAATCCCAAGTCCTGGGTATCCTCTTAGTCCTTGGCAGACTGGGGCAGTGTTTAACCCTGTACAGATGATCCATAGGATTGGATAAGAGCACCCTAGGAGTTCACACTCAAGGATTGAATCAGGCAAATACTAGGAGGGAAGAGAATCTTAGACGGTTATAACTAGTAAGGTAGATAAGTAGAAAACAGAAAAGTGTCAAAAGGGAAGAGAGGATGTCAAGCAAAGAATGCTGATGAATGTCAGGTAAGAAGAGGACAGAATAGTAGATTTGGCAAGATGGTGGTCACAAATGACCTTAACAAAAAAAAGATTTTTAAGAGTGATGGGGGAAAAAACTACAGTATTTTAAGTTAAAGAAACCAGCATGGCAGAATGGCAGGAAACAGGATTAGCAGATGCTAAAAAAATCATCCCAATAACTTTGCAATGAAGGGAAATAGAGGAATGGGCATTACTTAAAAGAGGCTGGAGAGAGTATAAAGGGTTATAATTCAGCGTTAGGAAGTGAATCTACTACAAGAGTGCTGGGGGTTTGCCAGCATTGAGTATCCATATGAAAATTTTAGCAAAAATTTAGTGCTGTTTTTTTTTTCTTCTTAGTTGGTGATCTACAATTATATTCAGCATCTCAGAAGCTGGCATGAAAAAAAGTTTTAAAATGGATTCAACTAATGTATGCGTTTTCCAGGGGAGGATGCGAGAGAAAACAAAAGGCAAGCAATAATTAAAAGGGAATAATTTCAACTAGAGAATATGGACTAAAGGCCAGGTGAAAGAGTGAACAGGACACAAATAGAGGGTGAAAAGCAGAGTCAATGTTTTAGATGTTTCACTGAAGCTGAAGAATGTAAGCTGAAACAACAGCAGGTGGCAACCAGAGAAAAGAGTGATTGATTTTAAGATTTCACGTGCAGTGAGTTACTGCTGGTGCAAAGTCAACATCACTGGCTGGGAAGGGGGTGGAAGAACAGGTGATTAGAGGTGAGGAAGGGAAGGATCTGTCAGGCAGGTGAAATGGTTCCTCCACATGAATTCTGAAGTCACCAAGAATGATGGCATGAATAGGAACGGAGAAGAAGAAGAGAATGAGTCCAAAGCAAATGTGAAGGAGTGATTGAGTCAATACATGAGAATAAGAAGGTGTAGGGGGTGATTTTGTCTTATGGTGCAAGCTTCAAACAGGAGGGAGTCATGCACACCAAACTTCTTCCCTTCTGATCCTATGGTATATGGGGTATGATAGAAAAAATACTTCGCTTTAGACTGTTGCAAGGAAAGTTACGTCATCAGGACTTAGGAAGTTAAAGATAATATTCACAGAAGAGTTCGAAGGGATAAGGGAATCTCAGGATGACATACTGACTTCATAATTTGCAGGACCCAGTACAAAATGGAAATGTAGGAAATCATGTCCAAAAACCAGTTAGAATGTCACGATGGTGACAAATGAACATTACATCAAATGTGAGCCCTTGTAAGTGTGGGGTCCTGTGTGACTGTACAGGTCGCATGCCTGTGAAGCTGCCACCACAGTTTTTGGGGTTTCACGCGGCTAGGAAAAAGATTTGGGAGAGAAGGCAGAATTTGGTCAGATTAGGAGATATATTAAATTTCTTTGTTTGAAGCTGCTCTGTGCCTAAATGCTTAAACACTATTATCATTTAATGCTTCTAATAGATGAGGTGAGTATTATTTCCTCATTTTACAGATAAGGAATGTGAAGCACTGGAAATTCAAGTGATTTGCCCAAGGTCACAGTAAGTGGAAGCCTGGTTCTAGATCTGTGTTTCTAACTAGCAAGCTCTGTAGCTTATCAGTGGATCTAGAGATAATAGATGGTTTGGGAGGCTCAGACTTTGGGTTGGCCAAAGTGAACAGGAGTGCAAGATGTGATAGGATTAGTCCTCATGAAGTCCTTAGAGAAGGAAGAAGAATCAGCTACAAAGTATAGTTTTTTGTTTGATTTTTCTTTAAACTATATTGAGGTACAACTGACGTGTAATATATTAGGATATTAAAGTATACATTGTGATGATTTGACATACATTGTGAAAGGTCCCCCTGTTCTGGTTTAACACATCCATCACTTCACATATTTATCTTTTTGTTTGGTTGGTTCTTTTCTGGTGAGAACATTTAAGTTCTACTCCGCAAAATTTCACTATACAGTACAGCAGTATCAGCTCTAATCACCATGTTTTACATTAGATCTTTAGACCTCATGTGTCCCAAGAAAATGAAAAGAGGCTATCACAGAGGCATCGGCACAAAGAGATACGCTCTTTATGACGCTATTCACAATAGTCAAGATATGGAAAGAAGTGTCCATCCATGAATAGATAAAAATGAGGTATATATTTTTTAAATGAATATACAATAGAATATTGTTCAGCTATGGGAAAGAAGGAAATCCTGCCATTTGCGATAACATGGATGGACCTTGAAGCATTATGGGAAGAGAAATAATCCATAGAGAGAAAGACAAATACTGCTAGATATCACATATACATGGAATCTTAAAAAAAAAAAAAAAGTCAAACTCATAGAAACAAAAAACAGAAAAGTGATAGCCAGGAGCTGGTGGGTGGGGGAGATAGGGAGAGATTGGTAAAAGGGTATAAACTGTCAACTCTAAGGCGAATAGGGTCCAAGGAGCTAAAGTAAAACATGGCGACTATAGCTGGTAACACTGCAGGGTACGGTTTTGATTCCCTAACATGTAAGTATTCTCAGTTATCTCTCATGTTCTACTTTCAAAGAAGAAATGTGCTTTCTTGGAATTGTGCTTTTCAAACAAAGTGTTATAAACAGAAATAATTTGATTAAATTATTTGATGAAAGTTTGAGAAACAAAATTGAGTAAATGAAATCATTATTGACGGAGGTGGCACAAAAGGAAAAAAAAAGTCCTCACATATGGATGAATTTTTACACACTGAAAAATTGTTTATGTCCCTTAGGAAAATTTGTGATCTAATTTCTTAGCTCTCTGGTTTGCTTTGGCCCTTTACATAAGAACCCAATAATCCTACTGGGTACTGCTTAGTTTGCAGGCAGAATTATTTCATTTATGACTAAATCTCAGTTTATTCTTTGTCTCCAGACTCTTTGACACTGCTCTGTGTATGAGGGATTGGGGGAGGAAAAGATGCAATTAATTTCAGTCCAACTGATTATTTACCAATGCTTTTTGAAAAAAGATACAGCTGGTTGCATGATTTATTGGCCTATGTAATCTATGTACTTATTGAAATATGAATTGATTAAAGTTCTCTGTCTAAACTTTGCTTTTGTTTTAATAGGCCAATTATAAATAAAAGTTTTGGTCTGTTTGATATAATCCAAGGTAGAAAACAAAGAACAACTAAGGAGTAGGCCTCCTAATGTTTTTAATGCATTCCCTGAAGTCTACCATTTCCTTTCCAGTTCTGTATTTGAGATGAGTGCATCTGTTCGCACACTTGTATATGTGACACCTTGTAAAGGCCCAGCTAGATTAAAAATGAAAGAAATACACTCAGCCTCTTCCATTTTCAGCATTAATGAAACGAGGAATCTTCAATTATGTTTCTTAGTTAATAAAGTTATAGATAGATTTTCAGAATTAGAATATAACAAAATACAATGCTACTATATCAACTATATCTATCACTATTTTGATATCATCCTTATGGAATTTAAGTTTTATTTTATTTTATTTATTTATTTTTAAAGATTTTATTTATTTATTTGACAGAGAAAGACACAGCGAGAGAGGGAACACAAACGGGGAGTGGGAGAGAGAGAAGCAGACTCCCTGCCGAGCAGGGAGCCCGACGCGGGACTCGATCCCGGGACTCCAGGATCATGACCTGAGCCGAAGGCAGTCGCTTAACCAACTGAGCCACCCAGGCGCCCTTAAGTTTTATTTTAACTTGTATATTTAATTGTTGTTATGGACTCAGTTGTGCTCCCTTCAAAATTCATACGTTGAAGTCCTAACCCCAATGTGACCATGTAGGCAGATAGGGTCTTTAAAGAGGAAATTGAGGTTAAATGAAGTCACAGAGTGAGGTCCTAATCTGAAAGGACTGGTGTGCTTAGGAGAACAGGAAAGGATACCGGGCTGTCTGTGCACAGAGGAAAGGCCACGTGAGAACATAGTGAGAAGCCCAAACAGAGAGGCCTGAGGAGAGGTCAGCTCTGCCAGAACCTTGATCATGAACTTCCAGCCTTCAGAACTGTGAGAAAATTAACTTGTGTTGTCTAAGCCTTCCAGTCTGTGGTATTTTGTTATGACAACCCTAGAAAACTAACGCAGTTTGAAATGGTTTTATCTTTTAGCACTTAGTGTGAAAAATAATTTACATCCATCTTTTTTTTAGAACTAGCATATGTGATTTTGCATAAATGTCAAATGGAGACTAAAAAAATTCTATTTGGATGAAAATAGACATGATTTCCTTACTCTGAATTTAACATGTTACTTTACATTAAAGCGGTAAAGATTTTCACCTTCACAAATAATTTTAATCTTATCACAAATGTTGATTTGATAATATCTAGAAAATATAGAAGAATAAGAGAAAAAGCAAAACATAATTTCTTATCCTACTATGTAAACATAATTACTAAAAATATTTTGATATATCGATAAATCCAGTAAAAAAATAGTCTAGGGATTAACTATATACTCTGTTTCTTGAATTTATAATTGAATACATGGATATTTCTGTGTCATTAAATATACTTCATTTGTACACACACACACACTTTTCTGAGACTATGGCATCAAATTTTATTGCATGAATTTAGCATAATTAATTTATTCTTATTGGATAATCAGATTTTTGAATATTATTTATGAAAATAGGACATATGATAAATTCACTCTGACAGTTTCAGAAATTAACACATAAATGTTCTCAGCTGTCTCTCTTCTTCTAAAGCCTGTCTTCTACCTTCTAAAGAGGAAAGATACTTTATTGCTTAGGCAGTTGCAGGCACTGGTATTTGCTGTGTTGATCCAGGAAATCAATGAAGTAGAGCACTGTGTATGTCTAGGAGGCTACATTAACTCATGTGAGGAGCATACATGCAAGAAAAGGAAAGAATATTGAGCCAAAAAGATGGAGAAAAAAGGTGACAGAGAAGAAATGGCCAGCACTCAGTTGGAGAGTTTTAAAGAGAATCGGAGTTACGGGCAACAGTGGTCAAGCTGGGATGAATAAGGTTTTAGGGAAGATAAATGGGAGTAGAGGATTTTTAGAACTTCTGCAGTGTAGTATGACTAGAATTACCCATTCAGAAGTCCTTTTGAGAAATAGTAAAATTTACTATGTACTACATTGTACACCTGAAACTAATATACACTCTATGTCAACTATACTTTAATAATGAATAGTTTTTTAAAAAGTCCTTTTGAGAAATAGTAAAAAAATTAGTTTTAAGTAGTTTTTTAATATTTGTAGATTTGGAATATGTTTTCTTTAAAATTAAAAAGAAAATGTTAAAAACTACTTCATTTGCAGTAGAGATGTACATATTTGCAGCCCAATTCTTGAATGCACCATAATTTATTACTAACATGCTTGATAAAAAGAATATGCATGGGTGCCTGCGTGGCTCAGTCAGCTAAGCCTCCAATTCTTGGTTTCAGCTCAGGTCATGCTCTCAGGGTTAAGAAATCAAGCCACATGTCGGACTCTGTGCTCAGTGCGGAGTCTGCTTGAGATTCTCTCTCCCTCTCTTTCTGCCCCTCCCCCTTTTTGCACATACTCTCTCTCCCTTTCTCTTTCTCTCTCTCTCAAATAAATAAATCTTAAGAAAAAAAAGAAGGTACACAATTTGGAAGTTTTCATCTATATTTTCAAATTCCAACAAATTATATTTTATCTCCACCAGCACTATTTGAAATGCTTGTTTCTTGTTTTCTTAGCACTTCTTTGATTTTGCCAATCTGATAGCAAGCTCAAATTATTTTAATATGTATTTGTATTAAATGTGTATGGGGGGGGCGCCTGGGTGGCTCAGTCGTTAAGCGTCTGCCTTGGCTCGGGTCATGATCCTGGGGTCCTGGGATCGAGCCCCGTATCGGGCTCCCTGCTCCTCGGGAAGCCTGCTTCTCCCTTTCCCACTCCCCCTGCTTGTGATCCCTCTCTCACTGTGTCTCTCTCTGTCAAATAAATAAATAAAATCTTTAAAAAAAAAAAGAAAAAAAATGTGTATGGGTATTTTCGTCTATTATCCCCCTCTCTCACTCTCTCAATATTGTGAATGATAGGGCTATAAAAATTGCTTTTTGTTTAAGATTGGATAATATGTATATTTTCCAATATTTACTTTGTCAGATTTTAGAACAGTATTTTCACTTTTAAGTGAAATGCAAAACTTACATGTTACATAAAAAATGTATTTCAGGTTATGGTGCAGATCTAACATTTTCTAAAATGACAAAAATGTATAGTTAAAAATCTCATGTGATATTTTTCTTCTTATCATTTTTCTATGAGTATGGATTATTTCTCTCAGGAGGGCTGACTTTCAGATTCATTCTTATTAAATGCAGTATTTGTTAAAAAAAACCTTTAGATTTTGCCTGACAGGTTCTAAAACTCTAGTTTCAGAGAAAATTGATGAATACAACTCATTTCCATTTTACTTTTTCTTATCTCCTCTGTAATTTGTGTATAAAATTCCCTACCTCCAACTTAAGCCTTAAGCTTCCACCTATGCTCTTGATCTAATTATTTTTTCTGGGTTTCTTACTTCAAGTAGTAAAATCTATCAACCAACAAATCACTCACAATAAGAACTTGGGAATCATATTTGACACTTGCTTTTTTTCTGTCTTTCCCATGTGACATCCTAGTGATTTTATTTCTGAATATATTCAGTGTGTTTATTTTTCCTGTTCATGACAAATAGTGCTTAGTATGTGTCTTTATTATCTCATCATGAGATTCTTTTTCATAAAATTTTTAAATGTATCTTTATCATCTCCTAACTTCCAAACTCTATCATCTGGTATATAAAGCTCTCCTTTATCAATCCCAGACTCCTCTGCCCATTTCTTCTTCCATCTCTCCATTCCTTGAATTTTGTACTGAGTTCTTTGTTCCATAAAATTCAACATACTTTTTAATCTCTATTTTTTTTCAGGTGTTTCCTTGGAAGTGAAGTGTATTTCATACCTTTTCTTTGATTTCCTTAACTTTGGTTTTCTTTTAGGAATTAGCATACCTTCTTGCTGAGAGCTTATCTGGTATGGGTCAGGTGTTCAACCTGTATATTTTTTTATGATGCTTTTCCTCCTTACAATCTATCTATGTCATGATGAAGCTCTTGGCTCATTTCCTACTTCGTCAGTGATTAGAAGTAGCTTGACATATGAGACTGTCTTATTTTCTTTATTTTCATAATGTCTCATCTTAAAGGAGATAGATATCATCAATAAGTGATTTTTGAACTGAACTGAATGCCACATCTTTATTTCTCATCTATTATAAGATATATAAGAGCTGGGCAGGTCTAATTAAAATAAAAAAAACTTTAAACCACAATTTCAAGAAATTTTTACTCTTCTTTTTTATTACAATAAAGAATAGGAAATCTTTAATTCTTAGCTTCAGATATATATATTTAAAGATTTTATTTATTTATTTGACAGAGAGAGACACAGCAAGAGAGGGAACACAAGCAGGGGGAGTGGGAGAGGGAGAAGCAGGCTTCCTGCTGAGCGGGGAGCCCGATGCGGGGCTCGATCCCAGGACCCTGAGATCATGACCTGAGCTGAAGACAGACGCTTAATGACTGAGCCACCCAGGTGCCCCAGATATATATTTTTTTTTTCAGTGAAAAGAGATCTATTTTGTAGGTGTCATTGGTCAGATAAAAGTTCATATTTAAATCCAGAATTTTTTAAAAATTTTGATTTGAACTTTGTTAACGTTATTTAAAAAACCTTATTTTATAGACCATGCCCTGCCTTCAAATAGCAGCACAGCATTATCCAATAGAGAGGAGAAAAAAGAAGAGAGAACTAAAATATGGAGAGAAAAAATAGGAGCCCAAAGGGAAGATAGACAGTAAGCTTTGGAATTCACTGTTCTTTGATTAAATGTGCTATAAGTTTACTGGTTCCATGTAACAGAGTGAATTTACACTCCACCTCTGGGTTTCACATAGCCTTTCCAATGCTTCATTTTGTGGATGGAGGGGACCCTTCTGAAAAGCATCTTAAAGTAGAGCCATATCATGTGAGATGATGAGGGTCTCAAGTAACTCAGTCTTCCTTGACAATTCTAAACTAAGAGTTCTCTTATACCTAAAATTCATAATTCTTTTTCACATCAATTATGTAAATGTATGTACACATACATACTGCAATTCATTGTATTCTGTTTTTTATTTGTCATAATCTTGTTTTCCTGGCTTAATTGTGAATTCCTAAAAGATAAAATGTAGAACTTATACTATTTTTTTAATACCATGCATATAATACATTGGTTATACTCTAGATGTCTACCTGATAATTTTTATTTAATTTTTTTTCTCAGTGAATATTAAGTCAGTAGGCCATTATCGTATTGGTAATATATATATATCTCA